GAATGATCTTTGAGCATCTGGAAAGTCTACCTCACTGTGGGTGATGCCAGCAAACCACTAAAGTTAATTAATTTTTCATCATCTTATAAATTGAACTATTGTGAGAGGAGAGAACCAGAGGCTATTTTGTAAAGTCCCGATGACTTAATTTTCCCTAAGCGTTACCTTCACGAGAGTGTTCTCCTTAGTGCTTCCTTTTTCCATCCTGAAATCCCGTGACATTTTACACGCTGCACTTGCAAGTCCTTCCCTTCTGTCACTTGCACGACAGTGTCTTTCTGCCCAGGCAGAGCCGGACTGTGCTGAGGGAGCAGCAGGGGCTGCTGGATCCGGTTTTAGATGTCGCTGTTTCACAGGAACTCACCCAGCGTGGACCAGATTGGCCTCTCCTGGAGAACCTCCCTCAGGGCCGCGCGTCTGAGCATCCCCCACTTTTCACTGTTGTCTAATGCCAGCTGAACGCTGCCAGTATGGTCCCACCGCCAGCCCTCGGGGTCTTTGGTAACGCTCTTGTTCCTGATGCTCCCTGCGTAAGGGTCCCGACCTCCCAGTCTTGGCTGAAGAGAAAGCTGCATGTCCTGCAGGTAAGAGGAACACTTGAGAACGTGGTGCCCAGAATTCAAAGCCACCAGGCAAATAAAGATACTCCTGTATTTATTATTTATCAGGTTACTTCTCAAGATTTTACAGAATGACTCATGTTTATGAGCCATTGGCGAACCTTGGCTCATAATTCTGATTCGTCCAGTCTAAAAAAAAAAGTGCCTCTGCCCACACGAACTGGTGAAGAGTCGTCCCAAAGGCAGCGAGTGCTTGGCCCGGCAGCAGGGCCCCCAGCAGCGCTGACCCCCTGGCAGCCAGCCCCAGCAGGCTGGGCAGGGCTGGGAGCGGAGCAGAGAGGATTGGGTGCTGCGGGGACATGCCCGTACACCCCCGCCAGGGATCCCAGCTCCACCTAGGCCTTCACATGCGGCTGGATTTCATCCACTCCACGTATGGCATTATTTGCTTTTTCAACAGGCATTGCTCAGGCGCGCTAACGCCTGGTACACGCAGCAGCCCTGGCTACCCCCGCGCAGTGCTGGCCACCCCCTCCCCTGCAAACACTCGCAGCAGCAAACCCCCCCGGCTCCCCGCCACAGGCACAAGGGGTTAAGAATCTCCTGCCATCCATAACCGTGCTTCTCCCAGATCACATGGCCCCTCAGCATCTCGGTACAAAAGGCCTGATTTAATCCCGGTTGCAGACGACTCACATTGTACTCGCAGACTTCTAGCGATGTCAGGCTATCGGGTTTCCAACTAA